CCCCCGCCCCACTCTTCCACCCCCCCACTGCCCTCCTCTCCCTACCCAGGCCTCAGGCAGGTTTTTCCTGGCTCAGGCTCCCACTGCTTCTGGGACAAAATTCAAGCTGCTCATCCTGAGCTGGAAACTCTCCCAGACCCACCCCAGCCTCATCTCTCTGAAAACCACTGACCCTTGGCAGGCCTGCGACCTGCATCTCACGGTGCCCAGTCCATGCCTGAGCTCCTTTACCACCACTTGACACTCCAGCCACATATTTTCACAAACGTGTTTTCTTCTGTCCATCTCCCTCTGCCTGTAACAGCCTGGCCAAGCCACAGTGCAGTCGTCCTTTAGCTCCCCTCCCTGCCAGACTCACGGAGGTGACCTGGGTCCCCTGGGATCCTCAACCACGAGCAGCTACAAGGGGCCGGGCTGAGACCACAGCCCCAGGCACTGCTTCCTACCCTGAAGGGACCAGGAATGCCCCGTGCCTCCCACCTCCGTGATGTTCTTGGTGACTTTGGCCTCCACATCATATCTCTCCTCATCCACTTTGTCCACGCGGGCGTGGAGCTGTCGGCACAAGTCCTGGTGAAGAAACGTGGCATGTACGGTAGGGGAAGGCTGGGGACCCGGACCCATGGGTCTGAGGGAATTGGGGCTGGGGGCCTCAATATCTGGTCCTGAACTAGAGGGAAGCTGGTCTCCTGGGAACTGCGAACAAAGCAGAACTCCAGAGCCACTAATCCTGAGAATCTACAGAATTAGGGATGGAGGAACCGACCTCCATCCCTAATGGATTTTGAGACTGCAGGCAGCTTGCAGGCCATAGTTCTGAACTCGTGAAGGTAAAAATTGGGAGATTGGGCCCCAAGGTCCAGAGCAGAAGGGGAAGGATAGTGACTGTACCTAAGCCCCAAGGATGCACGACCTGACACAGGAACCCAGGACCTCGGGCTGGGCAGGAGACCCTGACTAGAGCCTGTACCTGCAGCTCCTCGAAGCTCAGCCCGGCCAACTCCAGGGGCTGGCACCGCGTGCTCAGAGCACGAGCCTTCTCTCCACGCCGCTCCTCTGCCTCCTGCTCCAGCTCCTGCTTCGCGATCTGCAGCATCAGCATCTGCGACGGGCGGGGGATGGAGGGACCACAGCCCACGTGCAGGAGCGGGATGGAGACTGGCTCNCATCAGCATCTGCGAGGGGGCGGGGGATGGAGGGACCACAGCCCACGTGCGGGAGCGGGATGGAGACTGGCTGGGAGGCTGCCTCGGCCCCGCCCACCCTCTAACCCCAGGCTTCGCCTAGGTCTTCTAGGGCCCCGCCCCTCAAGGTTCATCATTCCAAGGCGGGGCTCCCAGCCCAAAGCCACGCCCCCAAACCCAATACTCCAAGTCCCACCCACTCGTACACTCGAAGCCATGACCCTACTATCAGGCTCCGCCCCCCCAGGACACCGCGGCTCCCCATCAAGGCATCTTCTCACCTTCAGCTGCAGTTTTCTGGAGGCGGAGATCTTAGACTTTTTCTGCCGGGATGAGATGGAGAGAGGAAAGAGTACGGCGAGGGACCCAAAGGTGGGCAGTGGGTGGGGCTTAAGAGCCCGCCCCCCTCAAGCCCGGTCCAGATTCGAGCCCGCCTCTAATTCCCGCCCTCGGAGTACGCGAGGCCACGCCCCTCAGTCCAATCCACCAATCTGGGCCTCTGACTCTGGCTAAGCACCGCCCACCGCCTCCGAAGCTATCGCCGTTCCCATGGGCAACGCAACTCCGCCCATAGGCAACTCTCGCCAATCCGAGCCTGGTGCTTGTGAAACCCCGCCCCCGAAACGCCTCACCCTTTAGGCTCCGCCCACGACAAACCCCGCCCCGTTGCGGCCGTGACTCCGCCCCTTCCCCCAGGTGCGCGGTATGGTCCAGGGACTGACTCCAGGCCCCGCCCCGCCCCGCCCCGCCCTCACCTTGGCGTGCGGCTCGGTGGCGTAGGCGCGGTAGTTGGCGGAGGAGCGGCGTCGAGCGGGGGCGGGGCGCGGTTCCCCCGCCTGGGTGGGGAACGGGGCGCGTCA